GACCGCTCATGTATTGTGATTGTGTCCAACATTCATCTTGTTGAGGAGATAAAAAGCCTACAGAATCAACTTCAGGATCCTCCAACATGCGGGAATATATTCCTTGGGAGTTCAACGATTTGCCCAAATCCCTCTGATGTTTTTTAATGAACAATTCGACCGAACGCTTCTCGTCGTGTAAGACATGAATGAGACCCATATCGTAGTCACTTGATATTTGAATGCCACTTGTTCTGTTCCCCACAACAGGATAATTGCAAACCACACTGAGGTGATACTCACGTGAGTTAGTTAATGTAAGTTTGTGTAATTCATTAACTAACTCATCGAAAGTACACGATTTTGTTATGAACAACGGTCTCGTCGCGCCTCCTTCATAAACGGACATATTATTTTTGAGGTAATTAATCTTCCCATCATAAGAACAGAGAATTACGATTCTATTGTTCATCGTTACCTCTGAAGAGTGAAAAATTCAAGATCAATATTACACGAAATATTGATTGTTACTAATTTTTACATTTAGGTAGTAACTCTAATTTCCACATTAATTCATAATTTCACCTCTAAATGCACAAAATTATTTAATTTTTCTTCACAAAATTCGTAAATAATCCACAATTAAATTCTAAATGCGAAAATTTGTCGTTCGTAAATAATTCACAATTAAATTCTAAAATCTAATTTATGTCATACATATGTAGTAACACTATTTTTCGCATTTATTGATAATTTCCCCTATTTAATTTTTCTTCACAAAATTCGTAAATAATCCACAACATTATTGATAATTTCCCCTCTAATTTCACAAAATTATTGATAATTTTCACACTAATTCCACAAAATTATTGATAATTTCCACACTAATTCTTCACAAATTTCACAAAATTATTGATAATTTCCCCTCTAATTTTCACATTTATTGATAATTTCCCCTCTAATTTTTACATTTCTTCACAAAATTCGTAAATAATTCACAATTAAATTCTAAAATCTAGATTTTTATGAAATCACAATCAAATAGTGAGAGTATATAAAAATTAGAGAGTATAAATTTTTTTAGGAAGAATTTACCTGTTTTTTCCTCTGAGACTGAGATCTGACGTCGGCGAACGGAAAGGAGGCGGCGGCGGCGGTCGGGAGCTGGGGCGGCGGCGATTGGGAACGAGGGAGGTGGTTAGGGTTTGTAGGGCTGGGGTCGGGCTGGGGCTGGGTCACGCGCGTGTTATGTAAGCACGCCAAACTCTACAGGAGTTCAACTCCCGTGGAGTTGTAGGCGGTATTTCCCAGAGAGCGCTTTCTGGAAAATGCGGCATGTAACTCCACGGGAGTTGAACTCCCGTGGAGTTTTATGAAGAAATTAAACTTCACGGGAATTCAACTCCCGTGAAGTTTAAAAATGCACTAAACTTCACGGGAGTTGAACTCCCGTGAAGTTTCGGAAAAGTTTTAACAAAAACCGACATGTTTTCAGCGCTGGGCTGAAAACAGGTCGGTGTTTGTAAATTTTTTCGAAATAGGTCGTTTTTTGCAAATAAAAACCCAAAAGGGTCTGTTTTGAAAATTTGTCCATAACTTAGCACATTAATATAAATTAATGAATATACTTGTAGACGACTCAAATGACATTACAGTCATCATTACAAGATGAATGGTGCTAAACATTGATGTTGATTGACAGTATTTTGTTTATTAATTCTTTGCACATATAGACGGATTTAGTAACTGCTTCTAGACTGCAGGGTACTTGATCTCCTAGGTTAGGGATTACATATGTATTTGTTGGGTGGTTAGCAATCATGATGTCGATGATGGTATATAGCGCCTAACTAGTTGTACAGTCAATGCTTCATAGAATTGAGATTTAGTGCTTGCATTATATGTACAAAGAAAATAATTTAACTAACCATGGCGATGGGTGACAAATAATGAGATGAGTCGCATCTTAAGGTGAGTTGGTTAGATAGAGGACTCTGAGATGAGTGCTTATTTATGAGTTATAATTATATTTATGTGTTAATTACCACCTTAAGCGGACAGGCTTAGTCATTACATATCTAAATAAGAATGTAATTATAGATTAATTTTAAAATGATAGTTGTTCAATGGGCAGTTATACTTAATTTGTAGTTTACTTCATGATTAATACGATGATGTGATATGTGATAATGTTGTTGCAATAGAGAGGAGAGGATGATATCGTTTGCTTTTTTTTTGTTATATTGATGATTATTCCCACATCATTTTACTTGTGATTTGTTATACATTTTTAGTACAAGTTTTGACAGAGTTGAAAGATTTGAGTAGACCGTTTGTTAATGACACCATATTTTATTGGGGGTGTTTTTGCATGTCAGTCCACTACACATTATATAGTCTATTTTCCTATTTATATTGTTGTCATTTATTGTTTGTTATCGCTCTATCATTTTATTTGAGCACTATTATCTTTTGATGATCGCTATCTCTTTGAGCTTATCATTCATTTGTTGAATGGACAAATTTTTAAAACCGATCCTTTTGGGTTTTTAATTGCAAAAAACGACCGGTTTTGAAAATATTTACAAAAACCGACCTGTTTTCAGCCAGGGGCTGAAAACAGGTCGGTTTTTGTAATTTTTTTTGGGAAACTTCACGGGAGTTGAACTCCCGTGAAGTTTTTCTCATAACAAAACTTCACGGGAGTTAAACTCCCGTGAAGTTTGGGAAATTTTTTTTTAAAAACCGACCCAGTTTCAACCAACTGGGTCGGTTTTTATAAATAAGATTGAAATAGGTCGTTTTTTGCAATTAAAATCCCAAAGTGATCGGTTTTGAAAATTTGTCCTTTGTTGAATCTGCTTTGACGGATTACTTTTATATTCCCTCCCCAGGTAGTTGATGCAAACCGCATTGTGAGCAAGGGATCGATTATGGGTTAAAATGTTGGTTTATTAAATGATTTTAATATTTGTTCTTTTTGTTGAAAAATGATATTTTCCAAATTTGACTTATTTTAATAAATAAATGAAAAGAAGTAGCAATGACTATAGGCTCAACACATTATTGCAATGAAATTATTATCGGAGTGGTGTGTACCAGCCTCGTCGGGCTCCGATTAGGTCGCGGGACATGACAGCATTTGCAAACTTACCTCCCAATTCTCGCACATTGATTTTTTTTCACCTACCCTTTTCACTTAATAGTTTTAGTTTGTAAACGAGAAAATATCGCAAATCAATTGGAAATTATTGGATATTTTGACATTGCCTCGTTAAAAAACCAACATTCTTAAGTTGGAGCAGTAGGAAGGTCCAATATGCTAGTTTGAGGGGGGCCAATTTTGCAAATACTAAATTTTGAAAGATAATTTCGCAAATATTAAGAGGTATACATGCAAAAACCTCTTTCTAATCTATCAGCAAAAATAAAACTAGAGGGAAGCAAGAACTGTACTGGGCTCGAAATGATCAAAAGACTAACGTCAATTTTTGTTTTCCCATGAAAACTTTTCTCTTTTTGCACATTAATTATCCCCTCATCAAGAAGGAGTTGATGACAAGATGCAAAAAGAGAGAAGAGCCCGCGCATATGTCGCTCCGTCGATGGTCCATGCCCATTATAAAAACCTCCCTTTTCTCGCCTCCTTATTCTCTCCTCGATTGAAAACCTCCAGAGGAGAAATTTTTTTTTAAATAAAAAATAAGTAAAAGTAAAAAAAGGGGGAAAAAAGAAAGAAAAGAAAAGGATAGATCTCCCTTCAATCCAAAAGATTGATCACAGAAGACAGAAGCAGCAATGTCAATGTCGGAAGCGGATTTCGCTCACGCGGGCGAGTACAAAACATTTCGTTCTAGCTCAGCTCTGTCTAAATGTGTTCTTGAATGGCGGAAAAGGGCTCACAAATGTCTATATTTATTGGGGAGAAAGAAATGGAGCTTTCGATTCGGGGGTGATCGCGATGCCCAAATTAAACAGCATGTGCAAATAGTCAGTGCTGCAAAAATGAGAAGGTTATGATGGGTCTGTGGATGTAAACAGAGAGACTGGAGAAAACGAGCGCGTTTGTAAGGGGTTAGAGTTTGCTCTTGTTGGGGATACAATGAGAGAAAATCTGATCCATACGGTATGCAGACCACTAATTGCACCAGACGGGGAAACCGGTAGGATTATAATTAATTTGATAAGTAGGACTAGAGGCAGAGCTAAAGGAATTTCGTTGGAAGCGATTAACGACTTATCATTGGCCTTCTCGACTGTTTATGCACCATTACCTTTTTTGAAATCCGCTTTTAGATGCATGTCCCATGGTTATTTGAACATGGATGACTCTGATACTATCTTAGAGTCCTAGTGCGTTAAAATGTCAGAGTCGTGGTGAGGGTCGAGGGTTATAATTCTATATGCTGGCAAGTTTGGTATTGTGGAAGGATAAATATATGCGTATAGAATTTGCGTAGAGGTTTTAGCACAAGGGAAAAGAGAAATAAAGAAATCAAGTTGTACATGTGAACAAAACCATTTCTTGACTGCGCTTTAGAGGCATGGACCTTTAGAGAACTTTCCTGTATATGCTTCTTGTATCTATCTAGAAATATGATTCATAATTATAGCATTTTTTGGGCTCATCTAGATTCCTTCTTATGCCAAAGCTTCATAAATTGAGCATGGGTTCTGAAAGATGTTGATATGCTATGCTTTAATAGTTTTACGTATTTGAAAAAAGGTTGAATGATGCGTATCATCTTTTTTTTTGTGGCTCACTATGTAATTTTGTTGTGGAACTTTAAGTTTTCTCTATGGCACAGCAAAGCGCTACTTATATATTATGTACATACGTACATGCAGACGTGTACATATATACATACTTTTGGATACATATACATGTGTGTGTATATGTATATATATGTATATATATGAGTGAGTTCTTCATTTAAATTTAGGAAATGTATCTGCACATCCTTTGTTTAGTGTGCTTCTCTTAAATTTATTACTCTTCCATTGATGTTGCTGCTAGGTTTGCTATATGAAATGCTTCGAAGTGCTAAACCAAAGGACTCAAAGCCTTCGTGGAAGGTACCCTCCCAATGAACACTTTCACCTTATTTATTGTTTTACGCTTCTAGATCCTAATTTCTTTCTGGTTTATCCAATGTTGATATTCACAATTAACTTTGGGAAAGTTGTTACGATGTGTTTGCAATTGAAGTATTGTTTGAGTTCTCAAAGTTCAAATCTCCCCTAAATGGATCGGTGTAAATTTTATTTATCTAACATCGAGCTTCTCAGCAAACATTATTTCTTTATAGCACACGTAGTCAAACCCCAACTTCAATGGTTCTCCTTATCAACTTGGGATCATTGATTAAGCTTAGTTATGGGTTTTCTTTTTATTTCATTATTATAGAAAGGAGAACGCCTGATTAGAAGGTTTATGTAATTCATTGGTGCTTAGTGTATCTAACGTTTAATATTCTTGTAAAAAGTGTTACAAAATAATATTAGCGCTTGGATATTATGTAAACTACCATCATACCATCTGTGACCTAATATAAAATAATATTAGCATATGGCTCTTATGTCAACTACCATCAAGATCTTGGCGGATGACCTTCCATCATACCGTCTGTGACATAATATAAAATTTATTTATCATCAGATGAATATCTACCAATTATATTCATAAATCTCTAAGTTAATCTAGAATCATCAGTAAGTTATCTAAATTGATCATACAAATAACTCCAAAAAGTTGTATTAACACTCTAATCTATCAAGCTCCCTGATTGGTCCAAGGTAGGTCAATAAATACAGATGTATTCTGTTGACCATAGCTAAAGCAATGATAAAATAGACCTACTAATCATCACAATATAACAAGAATATAATACAAAAAAATCATTAAGAAATATATATTTAATATCACAGATCCACAATATAACTATGTAAAGCTACTACTAGTTAGGGATTCTTACTACTATTTCTTTTGTTCATGCATCAAAAAATATATCAAACATTTAGGATGAAAGCTTTGTTGATTATATATTTTAGAATGATATTTATATTCTTCTCATGATTAATTACTATTTACAGATTCCTTACTATCATATTTTAGGTACTTCCATATTTAGCACTCGAGAAATTCCTCCTTTTCTCTTTGTTTGCTGGGATATATGTTAGAATATGTTGAGAATATTTCCTAACTATTTTATGACTTTTAAGCCAGAATAAGTATATTCAGACCGTAGAAACTAATGGAAGCTAGGTTTCTTAACACAAAAGTAATTTGAAATGCTGATTTGTAATATTAAGGTTTCATGAGTTAACATTAAATCATAGAAGATTTTGAGGGTTGATATGGATAATCCATATGATTTAGTAAATTAACAAGGATTCTTTTTAAGAATCATGTTCCTGTTCCTTAAAGATTTCAACATTTTTTGCTACTTGTTTTTAATTGCCTTCTATGAGTAAACATATGATTGTTTTCAATGACATTCCTCTTTTCTTGTGGAGATATAAAGTTTAATTCAGCTACCCACTTCTTGAACAGAGACTTTATTTGGTCATTATCAGATGATGGAAGTAGTTTGTTATGTGCTTTAGTTGATATTTTGGGAAACAGAAAATCATCATATGTGCATTTGTGCTCCGTAGTTCATAACATCTTTTAACTGCTAATATTTAAAAAAGTTTAATGCATCTCGATCTCTATATAGTGAGATTTATCTCTCTTATCCATTTAGAATTCATCAACAGTTTTGTTGAAATGAAACTCTTATTAGCCTGTCTGTTCATTCACATTGTAGTGATAACGCATATATCCACCTAGTATATTCATCTATTTGTTATCTCAAATTCGAGTACTAATCAGATTCATCATCAGATTATTCTGATAACCTTTCATTTTCATCTCTTTTCTATATAAACTCGAAGGGCTTACTCATGTTTAGACACATATTCCGTGTAGGTACTCATCATGGACAAATTAACTGTTAAAGTTATGTCTTACTCTTGTAAGATGGCCGACATTACAGATGAAGGAGTTTCATGTAAGTGTTTTAGAGATCACCAATGAACCTTCGGTTCCTTGTTCTGCCTGGCTGTTGTTAATGTTAAATTGCGGATGCGATATTTTCACCTCTAATCCCTCTACTTTTCTTTGCTAACATGTGGTATGCAATATACTTATTACATAGTCACTCCACCAACATAGTCAATATTTTTTCTAAAGTTGACTAAGGAATTATTAAAATTTTCCTTGCAGTGGTGGAAGACCTTTTCAAACGAAGGCAGCCTATGCCTGCAATGGATGCTATATATTTTATTCAACCCTCGAAAGAAAAGTAAATCCTTTCTTAAACTAAACATCCACTCGTTTAGTATCACTGGAAGTATGTCTAGACAACTATTATGGCCTTACAGTTTGTTTTCTTTATATTAATGCATGCAACAGTTATTTTCTATCACTCATGATGCCTCTACGAAAACTCTAGGTACACTTAAAGAATAGATATAATAACCATTAATACAACCGTACTAAATAATATGACACATATTAAGCTCCATCCTATAAAACCATATTATGTACTAATACTTAAATACACTAGATGTTTCAAAGTTTTCCTCCTACAGAAAAGAAAAAAAGTTCTGCAATGACATAGAAATACGGGTACACGCGGACAGTCATGCTTGCTAATTTATTTTTTTTAAATTATCAAGGAGATGACCAAGGGATGCACTAGGCTCATGACTTGTCCATGGCCATGAGAACAAGGTCAGCTACCTAGTGTGTCATTGTCAACATCATATATAACAAGATCTATATAACCTCATACAAAAATTGGCTGCATAGCATTCATCGAAAAAGGAGCAATACCTCTTATACTTGTGTAAACAATCACCACCTATCCTCCTTCAATACAGATCCAATTAACTTTTTTTTTCCTTTTTTTTCTTTTTTTTGTGGAGAAGGAACACAACGGGGAGAGAAAGAGAGATATAGGCTGTGATCCACAATTATACATGAGATAGGGTTTCTAGATATTTAAGATTTAATTTACAATTAGAACCCTCTAATAGTACGTAATTATTTATTACTACAATTACAAACATTTTATACATAAAAGTCCTTTTATTTTTCTTTCTTTATTAATATATAGCCAATAAAAATCAGGATTATTACACACTGTCCCTCTTAACAGAAGTTTTGTCCTCAAAACTTGGACCTACTTGACTTGTCCATTAGATCATATTTTCTCTAAGAACCTCAACTAAACAATAGTCATACATGTATTCAATAAGAGTGGAGAAAATTACTTGTACATATTCTTTGTTGATGAGCTTGTTTTGTTAAAAGTAGTTTGTGATGGTTTTCGGTGGTTATATCATTTTTTTCCTTATACCTAATGGTATCATATACATATTGATATGAAAATTGACATAAATTTGACCTATGTGAAGTTATAATTTTTTCTGTAAATGATGTTATTTTTATGCTTTGGTCATAGTTTAATTTTTCTGTTGCTTTCCCTCTCCAGTTTCATATTTGTAGGTTATTTAATTGTTTTGCATCTGACAAGGACCATCACATGTTAACATAAGGAGGCTCTTACAAAGAAGACATTGTACCACCTATTAATTAGATTGTTTTTCAGTTTACAAATGTGGCACGTTGCATATGAAAGGGAAACTAGAGAAAATTCCCATATGAAGTCCTAAATTTTGCATCCAAGTAACTCTCCATAAATTCTATAATAAATGTTATGTTGCAACTTCTATTTATATTATCAGCTCCTATCATATTCCAGTAATGTTACATGGTTGAGTTTCTGGAACAAAGAAAACCGTACTGTATGGAACTTCCATTTGTGATTGTGTATTGTTTGTTAAATTTCTTTTGTAATAACCTAGCAGAGAATTACTTTGATATGACTTTTTAAAACATTGGCTAGCCCATATATCTTCAAGTCCATGAATATTATAACCAATATAAAGGCCTAAGGACAATGCAAGCGCATGATTGTACTCCTACTTTTAGAGCCAATGAAGGACTAAAGCCATATTTAAGCTCCAAAACATTTAAGGCAAGGGTCGTGGCTGAGGGCTTCTCAGGTCGAGCCTAACCCCACTCACTAATAATGTATCTCCATTATTTAAACTCAAAATTTTATAAAACTTGCATGTATCCCTAGTTATTTATATAGCCATATTAAGTGGCCTTATTTATTCTATCGTCAAGAAACTTCTAATTCTGCATCTGCTTGATAAGAATAGACTTAATAGTTTCCAAACTGTATATTACTTTTTGTATTTAGGTGTTACACAGAAGAGACTGCGATGAGCTATGCATATTATTCCCAAACTGTCACAGATAGTTATAAACGACTCATTATGCAAGTTTCACTTGGTGTCCCCTCATATTCCATCTTCTTATTCGCACACATATCTACAACGCAAAAATTACAAGGAAATTTTCAATTTTTTTATTCTACTTCCTATCTTCTTCAACATGGGATTTTCTTTATCATGTTAGCAATAATTATCATTTTAATATCTAAGACCTTAATTAAGTTACTTTTTATATGTACATCTCAATCAATTTATGAATTGATATAAGCATATGCTTCACTTGGAAAATCTCACTACATGTCAAGTCCTTTCAACATTGCACTTTGTCAATGTTCAGATATCATCTATGGTGGCACTAAAGTTTGATGTTAGCTCATTTTTCATATACAAATGTAAACATGATTATGCTGTCACTATCATTTTTACTTCTCTTATGATGCAACTCATAGTTCTGTTTGTTTAGTATCTAAAGATGAAATATTTAAATGATGTTTTAGAGACTTCAATTAAAGACCAAAATAGATGACTTTATCAGGCAATATTATTGTCTATATCTTGTATATGGTGGGTTAAAATTGTCAAAGCTAGTGCTGAGGATTTTAATGATTGTTCTTCTTTTTCATGACATATCGTCATGATTTGCAGGTGTTGTTTGGTTTTTGTTCCACTAGTTTCAAACCCGTGCGAGGCACGGATTTATTCAGGATGGAGCTTGTAAATTTCTTAGAACTAGTATAATGCACACACTTTGCATGTGGACATATTTTTATTTAATATTATATTATCTAATAAATTATATATAAATATTTTATCAAGTTATTTTATTACACTATTATTAAAAAATTAAGTTATACTATTATTAGTACTTATACTGTTATTAACATACATTTAATAGTTATTTAAATTTGCTTATTATTATGTTATTAAACAATTTATTTAAGAGTATAATTATTAAATAATAATGTAATCATTAGTTTACATAACACTATTGAAATAATTAAACCATTTATATCATTAAATATTTATGCTATGTAGATATTTTATTACAAAATTAATTAAACAATGACAATAATTCTTAATATTATATGACTTTATCTTGTAAAGAATATCACCTTGTTCGATAATTTACATCATCTTAGTAATAAAAAATTATGCGTTATAAATTAAAAATATTTTTATTTAGGAAAAATGCTTTATATACAAATATTGAATCCTTGAAATTTATGAGACATTTACTTTCAACAAAAAGTGTATGTTTCATAAATTTCAAGGATCTAACATTTTTATATAAGTAAATTTTCCTAAATAAAGGTATTTATAATTTATAACAACCAATGTTTATTACTAAGACCATATTACAACGTCGAACAAGGTAGTATTTCTTACAATATAAATAATCAATCCCCATTTATAGTATTATCAATAATTATAATTATGTATAATAATTTACTAAAAAAATTTACTATTTCATGACAATTAACAATTCTTTACAATAAATAATATTATATTTATGAATTTTATTATCATTATAAATTACTAATATATTCTAGTGAATGACTAAATATTTTGTAAAAATAAAGAGAAAAGTATATGTCTCATAAATTTCAAAGATCCAATATTTTTATATAAAGAAAATTTCCTAATAAAAGTATTTTTGATTTATAACTTCCAAATTTTTATTACTAAGACAATCTTAGTTATCGAACAAGATAATATTCTTTACAACATAAAGAATCAATCCCTATTTATACTATTATTAATAATTATAATTATGTACAATAATTTGTTAAATGAATAATTTCACTACTTTATACAATTAATAATCCTTTGTAGTAAATTATAAATACTTATGAATTTTATTATCATTATAAATTATTAATTTATTCTAGTGAATGATCAATTATTTTGAGAAAACGAAGAGGTGCATAGTTAATGAGAGGTTAATGAGAGGTATGAGTCATTAGTTTTATAAATAATGGTATACTTGTTAGTTATAAAAAATTGAGAGGGTAAAAAGAAAATCAAAAGTTTTGACATGGATATTCTTTTTTATAATTAGTATAGATAGATTGACAAATCCTGCTTAGTATATTTTCTAGGGGTTGGCTTTTTTTTCCCTGTTACACATTATAACATTCACAATGAATGTTTCCACTTAACATTTTTTTTCTTCTTTTCTTTTCTCACTAAGATATGCATTTCCTCTTATTGTCACTTTGATAATTTGCAGTGTGATCATGTTCCTATCTGATATGTCTGGAAGGTGCCCTCTGTATAGAAAGTATGCTCCTCATGTCCTTTAAAAAATTTGTCATAACTAGAAGATTTTCAACTTAGAGGGGTTAGAAGGGTTTCTAATTTAAAGTGAATTTATTGTTTTAGAGCATACGTATTCTTCAGTTCCCCAATACCAAAGGAACTAGTGGCTCATATCAAGATGGATACCAGTGTCATACCTCGCATTGGTGCACTGGGTGAGGTCAGTAGTCTGATCCTTTTTACATTTTTGTACCTTTGCGTTAAAAGCAATTTTATCTTTATATTCTACTATCTCAGTTGGTTTTTTAATCTTTTCTTTGATTATTATACTGTAATAGTTGTTTCTTTGATAAACATTTGCAGATGAATCTGGAATATTTTGCCATAGACAGTCAGGTAAAGTTGATCTCTTATGCAAACTTTCAGTTATGCTAGTTCGCATGTGATGTTTAAGTAACTTGAATATGCGTCCCGCTATCTATTCCTGCTTTCTTATAAATGTTAATGTATTGTAATGAGATAACAATTGATTGTTTTACTCTTCTCTGACTTAGAGCCCTTTGACATAATCCTACTCGTGTTAATACTAGCCATTATATGAACTAAACTTGTAGGGTTTTATCACTGACCATGACATGGCCCTTGGGGAACTTTTCGGAGAAAATGCAGAAAAATCCCGCAATTACAATGCATTATTGACCACAATGGCTACTCGAATTGCTACAGTTTTTGCTTCCCTTAAGGTATGAAAAGAAATTTTCTCAGTGGTCATATGCATTCCCTTGTTTTTTATATATTTTTATGAGTTGTTTGTATTCATGTGGTTCTATATGATGGCTAAAAGGCTTTTTGGAATGATAATTATGTAATATCTATAAATTTTAAAATGTAGTTGATTGAATGTTGCCATATTGACTGCTAAGAAAAGTAATAAGAAAAGAAGAGACAAGCATATCATTGCAGGAATAGTTATCTTGTCATTCGTCCAATTGATGTTAATCCAATCTGACTAGCCCCAGTCTTAATGGAGTTCAGGTAGTTTCCACTTGGTATTGTATTCCCAATCATTCTATAGGAGTGGACAAATACAATCCTTAACCTTCTCCAGAAGTTCAGGTTTTGGGTGTTGGCCTAGGAATTTCAAAATGGTATAAAACTACCAAGATTTAAATACATCTGATAAGTTTAAAATCCCTTCCATTACACCAAAACTCTAGGGTTGTAGTGAGGGATGAGGATTATAATTATTTTCTGACAAGCCCCCAAGGTTGAGCGCCTTTTTTTAGGTGAAACCTGGACTCACGCAGTAGTATCCATTCTACTAAAATCCGTTTTAAAATTATGGCTAGTGAGAATTATATCTGGATTGCTTTTGTACTATGTGAAAGTCCCTTTTATGCGAAACGGGGGAGGGGGTCTATCAGAATCAGCGATCTAAATCGAACAACGCACCGTTTCGCCAAAAATCATGATCTTCGGCAGGAAATTAATTTAAAACAATTAATGCGACAGATGGGTTTAATAAGATTTGCATCGATAATTATGAATAATTCCAATCTCAAACAATTTAATTACAATATTCATTATCATTGCACAAGTTCAACAACCAATATCAAGGTTTAACAGTCACATGCTCAGTTACTCTTAACTCACAAATATAATCTAAGCAGTGAATATATGATAAGAATTTAGAGATGTAATACTCATGCAATTAACTAATAAATTAAAATTAACAGAAAAATAACGAGTCCAAAGAAAATGATACCGTCGTCGGACTGAACCGGCTATGAATCACTTATGAAGCAGGGTCTAAACAATGCTGGACGGATCTAAACTGCAGATTAGATCCAATTGAACTTGAGTCAGGTCTTAACAAGTGGGCCTGATCCAAGTTCCAAGTCGGTCTGACCAAAACCAGAGCCAAGTGAACTAGGGCATATCTGATCAAAGAGAACCAGATTTGAAGGGCCTCTTCAGTGTGATCTTCGATCTGAGGGGAGAAGAGGATGAGCAATAGGCTGGAGGATGAGGAACAGCGACGATCTCGGTGGCTGAGGACGGCGACGTACTGGATGTCGGCGTGACTGAGAGCAATGGCGTTGTCGGGATCGAAGGGAGAGGAAGGATGGAGGTTGAAGAAGAGGAGATGGGTGTTCGGTTGCTGGGGGAAGAAGGGAAAGTTGGGGCAGGAGCTTTGAGATGAACTGGAGGTTGATTGGAGTGGAGGTGGAGGTGAGCGGGACAAGGGGGCATCGGTTGTTTGAGGTGGCGGCTAATCGGGGAAGGAGAGAGAACGGGGGCGGCTCTGGTGATCAGAGGAGAAGAGGAAATAGGGTTTGGCGACTAAAAGAGAGAGAAGAAAAAGTATAGGCTTAGGGTTTCACACCCATGGTTTCGCACCAAATAAGCTAACACAATTTCATTTCAATTTTCCATTTTTTCATTTCAATTATTCACTTTGATTACAAGAGCGTTTGAATAGAAGAGAAAAAAATACAGAATTAGAAGATTTCCTAAATCCCACAAATCTCTCATAATCACTTAAATCTCTCATAATCAATCACTACTAAATCTAAACCTAATTTGAAATTCAAATCTAAACTAAAATTCAAAATTCAAAATTGACTACGAAAAACTAAAATAATTAAAATTCAAACACAAATATAGAAATGCCATTCTTGTCCTCATCATTCTCTCCGGGTGGGATAAAACTTGACTCCGTCGAGTTAGCTGCAGAAGCTTGTAATCTTTAATATAGTCTGCCTGCATCTTAATCTGTCGTTAGTTATTTTTTTCTGCATCTCAAATCATTAGTGAAGTTGCATTGTAAATTCACCATCTAAAATATTATCAAAATTCAGTACAACTTGGGTGAATATATAGAAGTGGGGTAAGGTGAAAGAACTCTCAGAAATAATAGGCTAGGATCAGACTTATATTAGTGGACTGCCAATAACATTGTGAACTGCTTAATCAATCAATATTGAGAATAGAACTATGACCAAATCGATGATATAAATGTTGCTATTAATTAGTTCAAGAGTTGCAAAAGCTCATAAATATCATATTAAATCTTAAACAGCTATAAATAAACTGTATTGGACAAGTCCAAACCATCTAAAATATCAGCATTAACAGTTTTAAATTGTGTCCTGATTCCATATCATTCATTTCAGTTAACAATGTATTTATTAAAATTAGATCACTGATTCCCTAATATATGATCAATTTAAACCAAACAAATGATGTCAATCAAGTCAAATGACTATGTATAAAATACAGACTCGAACAATGCTATCAATGGCAGATGTAAACTCAACAAAGTGCTTAACATGTAGGATGTCCTCTGTCAAAGGGAATGATTAGGTGTTCCTTCGTTAATATGCATAACAAATTTCCTATTTTAGCAGCGATGGTGAGGAACATGCAAACAAATGCGGAAAGGATGAGTGTTTTTGTGCACTTAGCATGAGAGAAAAAGGAACTGTTGGGTGAGTGACTATCGGGACAATGCATGGGGGTTTGACATCTAATATGGTAGTTATTTCACTAGGCTCAGTTTGGTATTCAACTTCCATACAGATATCATCAGAAACGTGTTAGGTATCATGTTTGTCCGGGTGGACTTCGTGGGGAACATCAACAACGTTTTCAATCACGGGAGGGAGTTTAGGAGGCATTGGCGTTTTAATTTTAGAAGTACCTTTAGGGATAACATCAGTAAACTCCGTGATCAGAGGGATAGCTTGGGGAATAATCAGAGGGGTAGTTTCAGAAGAAATGGAAATGCATGGTTTGTCAATTCTATTATCCCAGAATGCCTTATCAGAGTTAAGAGTCTATCAAATCTACGACCTGGTAAACGGTTTCCTCACGAATAGATTTTGGTTCCGTTATAGGCGAGAGATATTTCTTTCCTATCTCATTGGTATATTCTTGTAAAGTTAAAGTTGGTAACTCACCTCTAACATACCTTAATATTTTGAACTTACCATCAAACGTTGGTGGATCAGGAACATGTTGAGGTGGGGATTGATGAACAATGTACCCATGATTCCGTTATAGGCGGGAGGCATTTCTTTCTTATCTCATCGGTCAATTCTTGCAAAGTTAAAGTTGGTAACTCACCTCTAATATACCTTGATATTTTGAACTTACCATCAAAGGTTGGTGGATCAGGAACAGGTTGAGATGGGGATCGATGAACAAGGTACCCATGATCTTGACCTTGTGGAGGCGGAGTTGTAATACGCACTCCTTTGAGCCTAGCAAGTCTTTCGTTGGTGTTATCCAGGGTCTCGCGGGTAGCTCTGTTCTCCTAGGCTAAGTTAGCTATTTTTCTTTTTAGTTCCTCAAATTTCTTAAGGAGCTCGAGAGACATGTTGGATTCACTAACCGATTCACTGGAATCTCCTAGGACAGATCTGTACGATTAGGCATGCACTAACAACTAAATAAGATAAATGATGTGCACAAATAACTAAATGAGATGAACGAGATTTTTTTTAATATCAAATAAAAGACTCAACTAATCTAAAAAATAAAAATAAAAATAAAAATTTTCTATCATAGAACCATGCTGTGATACAAAAAATGATGCGAAACGGGGAAGGGGGTCTATCAGAATCAACAATCTAAATCGAATAACGCATCGTTTTACCAAAAATCATGATCTTCGGTAGAAAATTAACTTAAAATAACTAACATGACTGATGGATTTTAACAAGATTCGCATCGATAATCATGAACAATTCCACTCTCAAATATTTTAATCGCAATATTAATTATCATTTCGCAAGTTCTAAAATCAATATCAAAATTAACAGTCACATGTTCAGTTACTCTCAACTCACAATATAATTAAAGTAGTGAATATATGATAACAGTTTAGAGATTGAATATTTATGCAACTAACTAATAAAGTGAAATTCGCAGAAAAATAATTAGGAAGATAAATAATGCCTCAGAGACTAACAAACGAAGCGAATTCGAACCGGGCTCGAATTAGGCTCCAACGGGTCTGAACAATGCTGGACGGATCTAAACTGTAGATCCGATCCAATTGAACCTGAGTCAGGTCTAAACAAGTGGGCCTGATCCAAGTTCCAAGTCGGTATGACCAAAACCAGAGCCAAGTGAACTAGGGCATATCTGATCAAAGAGAACCAGATCTGAAGGGCCTCTTTAGTGTGATCTTCGATCTAAGGGGAGAAGAGGACGAGCGATAGGCTGAAGGATGAGGAGCAGCGACGATCTCAGTGGCTGAGGACGACGACGGACTGGATGGCAGCGCGGCTGAGAGCAATGGCGTTGTCGGGATCGAAGGGAGAGGAGGGGTGGAGGTTGAAGAAGAGGAGATGGGTGTTCGGTTGTTAGGGGAAGAAGGGAAAGTTGGGGCTGAGTTTTCACATGGAGGAAATTAGAGAGGGGTCGGCGGCTGGAAGAAAGAGGAAGAGTAATGGCCTAGGGTTTCACACCTGTGGCCTAGGTTTACACCCAAGTATTCAGCAAACAATATTTCTTTCATTTCTTCAATTATTCAATAATTCATTTTGATTACAAGAGCGTTTAAATAGAAGAGAAAAAATACAGAATTAGAAAATTTTCTAAATCCCACAAATCTCTCAATCACTTAAATCTCTCATAATCAATCACTACCAAATCTAAACCTAATTTAAAATTCAAATCTAAACTAAAATTCAATATTCAAAATTTGAAATTGCTTACTAAAAACTGAAATAATTTACATTCAAATACAAATATAGAAATGTCATTCTTGTCCTCATTACCCTTCCACTACACCATTACTCTGGCATTGTGGTAAGGACTGAGGGTTATAATTTTATATTCTCACAAACAATTCCTCATTCCTTATCATAAGTTCAGAATTTTAGGTTTACTGGTGGGGATTGCAAACACTTATAACATGTTGTTCCAACTGGAAAATATTTGCCTCACTTTAACATATAACTAATGCAGTACAACTTTGTAATATTTATATTTCCTTTGTGTAAAAGCATATATTTCATCTACATAATACTATGACAATTAGAATTGATTTGCTACTAGCAGTATATCGTTAAAGGCCCATAACTGGTTATTATCAGTTGCAGTAATAACTTTAACCGATACAATTGATATGACTGCTAAGTTTCTAGACCTAGAAGCTGGATTGGCATCCGAAGATTACATGCGCACATTTAGGAACATGTTTGTAAAAGAAGAAATTTTTAAAATAGATCCATTCACAAATTTAATCTAAAAAACCGACCCTATTCCAAGTTTATTACAGAAATCGATCCAGTTTCTGGTCACGTCAACATCATGGCCAGAAATTGGATCGTTTTAAAAATATCGCGATCCTAATTAGTCGGGGTTGACAACCCGACTAATTAGTCGCCTAATTACCACCACAGGTGGGTTAGAGGCGAAAACCACGACCAAAATGGTCGTGGTTGCCAACCCCGACCAAAAATGGTCGGGGTTGCCAACTGCGACCAAATTTGGCTGGGTTGCCCCGACCATAAAGAGAGGCGGTCACTAATCACTCCTTGCTTTTGCTCTTAATTAACATTATAATTATAATGTTGATTGATGGAGACCTAATTCAACTTTGCACGCCTAACTCCCTTCGTCATACCTAATTTATCTACTTGAACAAAGGACCTATAGATAACGCCACTAAAATTAATTATATGCCACTAGATAAAAGCCCACCCACTAAGGTTTATCTACTTGCACTAAAAACATTGATAATTAGCACATATGATGAGAGGTTGAAATGACTCCTGCTAAAAAGGTCGGGGTTCCAAACCTCGACAAATTTTGTCGTGGTTCTAAACCCCGACTAATTTGCCACCTAACCATATTCCCCGCTTGCATGTTAGTGTCCGCTGTTGTTAAAACTCAACTAATTAGTTGGGGTTAGCAACCCTGACTAATTAGGACCGTGTTTTTTTTAAACGACCCAGTTTCTGGCCACGAATCTGACGTGGCCAGAAATTTGGTCGATTTCTGTAATAAACTTGGAATAGGGTCAGTTTTTGGGATTAAATTTGTGAATGAGTTTATTTCAAAATTTTCTCCGTTTGTAAAATCAAAATGGAGGTGTCTAACTATGTAATAATTAAGTACCAGTCACCTACATGCTTCAGATAATTGACATACTCAGGTCACATTACTGCTTCCCTCAGAGAACCTCATGCTTGATGCACCTAGGTACACTTGTTTTGCACAAAGGGATTGATAAAATCTTTTTCAAGTATGAGGCCATACTTATAAAAGCAACAATGTGAATTTTAGCTGTTCCATGGGGACATAAATTTTGCACTAAGAGAGTTTTACCTCAAATTCAAGCCCTCTGGCATATTCCTAGGTCCCTCTCTTACACATCGTCTACCGAGTTAGGATTGACATATCCAGATTTTTTATACTCAAATCTACCAGGCCGGGAGTAACGAGCTGCAATTATTTTTATCTACAGAAGCCTAGTTTTTATGGATTTTTATGATTCAGATGAATACTAAGAAACATGGATACAGACATGGGGATATGGATAAGACAAATTAAACATGATGATATAGAAAACCATAAACAGTAGGACAGATGACCCAAAGTAATGACTATATTTATGTGCATACGTACGAGTTTTACACATAAATAATACAAGGGATTTAGATTTGTTCTTTTTAAATTGGAAAAAGAACAGAAAATGACTTAATTTAATCAAATAATCTGAATATTCAATCCTGTGGTTAATCGAATACAACCCCGTGATGTTCTTCACAAATTTACAGGTAACTGGGTTAACATAGCATCTTCATAATGGTAAGGCTGTTGGAGACACAACCTTTACATCTTCTGAGGGTCCACACATTTTTTGAATTTTTTCTTTCTAGTCCTACATGTTTAAGGTGCATTTTGGACAAGTTTTATGCAAGTGTTAATGTCTAACATGTATTGAAATTGGGCATGAGTCTCACTTTTGAGTGTCTGTGCTTCTTTGATTGATATTTGCTTCTTTGATTCACTCATACAAACTCTCTCTCTCTCTCTCTCTCTCTCTCTCTCTCTCTCTCTCTCATGAGGTGTTGCAAAATTTGTCTGTATGAGGTATGCATGTGTGTGTGTGTATTTGTGTTTGTTTGTCTACTTTGAAACTTAATTTCATTTATTAGGAATGATTTTATCCTAGAACGATTTTTTATTTATTAACAGGAATTTCCTTATGTGCGCTACCGTGCTGCTAAGTCAACTTCAGATGCTTCTTCTGTAGCATCATTACACGACCTAGTTCCTTCTAAGCTTGCCACTGAAGTTTGGAATTGTATTTCAAAATACAAAACTACTATTCCTCAATTTCCCCCAAAAGAGACATGTGAATTACTAATTGTGGACCGATCAATTGACCAGGTTCAACTTACCATTTATTTCAGTTTATTTCGTACTTTTCTTCTTATAATATCCTGTTGATTTGATTTGTTGTAACCAACCCTGGAAAGATTGCTCCGGTCATTCATGAATGGACTTATGATGCCATGTGCCATGATTTACTAGATATGGATGGGAACAAATATATATATGAGGTATGCCTAGAATTGTGTAAGTTTTACATATGTTATCATATGTACTTTCATAATATTGTTATAAATGATATACAGGTCCAAAGCAAATCTGGGTCGGCTCGTGAACAGAAGGAGGTTCTTTTGGAGGATCATGATCCCCTCTGGCTTGAGCTTCGACATGCACATATCGCTGATGTGAGTTCTAGTTTAAGAAGAAGTGACTTGTTTTTTAAACTGTCAGTTGACCTTGATTGAGTTACCTCCTATGACAGGCTAGTGAAAGGTTAAGTGACAGAATGACCAATTTTGTATCAAAGAATAAAGCTGCACAACTTCAGCAAAGGTGAGTTCTTCATTTCTTCATGTGAATACATTTGAATATCCGGATGCAAATAGTTCAATTATTTCCTTAAGAGATGTGTAACCTTCAGCAAAGTTCAAATCTACAATAGGTAATGAATTCAAGACAAAAATGATATATTCAGTTTATAAATATTAAGTACAAGCACATACAAGCGATTTCTCAACACAATTTCACAAGCTGAACCTGTATGGAAGTTTTCCTGTAGGTGTATTGCATCAGTATGGCTTGAGTAGTTGATATGGGCTAGATGATGTTGAATGATATCACATGAGTAGTTCATACATAAGAATGCTTTGCTGCTGGAAAAAAAAAGAAAACTTTGCTGTTTGCTCCTGTCGTAAATAAAATGACAGCGAAATGATTGAGACAGGCTGGACATCTGCAACAGGGGCCCTTGAACGCAAATATTAGCACAAGTCATAGGATCATAGTCAGTAAAACAATGAGGAATAGAGGTAGGCCTAAATGGACATGGATGAAGGCAATTAATAAGGATGTGATAGTTATGAAGACTCTTAAGAGAGCTGAATGGAAGAAAAGTATTCATGTAAACCCACTCTATGCAGTATATGAACAGTCTGTATATAGTTGCTAATTTTGGCAGGATTAACATGGGCAAATATGTGACTAAATTGGTTTGAGCACAAAAAAAGCTCGATTCATTGAAGGTATTAGCATGACCAGATAATTGAATTTCAATACTCTAAATTTTCACTCGTTTTGACTTTGGTACCTTGAGTTTTAAGTTACCCAGATGATGGCCCAAAGTTTTGCTAACTGAGTTTTAAATTGACACTCAAAGAGTTTGTTTAGAGCTCATCATCTGACCCTCACATGAACTTTTTGGACAAGCCTAATTCTATTGTCACTTTTTCCAAGCATAAAGTAGTGAAATTTGGTAAGAAAAACTTTCTCATTCACTTTCTATCTACTATTTATCATGACTGTAAATTTTCTTCTCAGTTTTTCAATGAATATAATGCCTTTTTCAAATGCATGCCCACATACATACTCAAAAGTATTATCCATATTACCACAAATTTAACATAACAACTCGAAAAATAACAGAAATTAACAAATCCATTAACATTTCAGCAAAACCCTAAGCATTCTGAAATTGAATCGAATTAGGAATTGTAGAGGATTCGGGGGAAATCAGGAAGAAAACCCTGAACTGCAAAAGAGAAAAAGAAGAGAAAAATTGTTGCCTATCTTCAAATTGTGTAAATGTTCTTTGATGGCCGTCACTTGCTTTTAGTTGGCCTAGCCAGGAATCTTTCACCTTTTATGGAGGTTTGTCAATGAGATGACAGCTTATCTGAAATTTGTCCATTTCTTTGCAGAGCTTTCCCAACTTTGAATCTTCATGACAATTAGATGGTGACCTTGGTGTTGTTGTAGAACATTAAAGACCATCTCATTCGCTCTTAGATCTCTTCAACTCTTAGCCCCACCCCTTATGTTTTAGCTTAAAAGATATGGCTTAGATACAATGAGCCAATGGATACAATTAGGACAATATTATCATAGATGAATTTGCTAATTTTATGAGATGTACACACTCATAGTGGTGCAGTAAATGGGATGTGGTTTTCTAATTGAAACCGAGGTGCGGCTTTCTGTGGAACCGATTACATAACGGAACATCCCTGCTCGCGGGGAAAATCGTCTTTATTGATGTCATTGTTTTCTTAAGCAACAGTTTATCGGTTACAAAATATCCCGTCTTTTTATAAGATCCGGTTACAACAAAATCAAACAAAGAACAAATATTACAACTTTCCTTTTTTCGGAACTAATCGTAAGATCCTGTTTTGCGGTCTCTTGCTTGTGTGGGTTCTTTGCCTGCGCCGGGGTTAATCCGTGGACCACCGCGCGATCTTGATCCGGTCGGATCTACACGGTATGACGGGTGCTATTTCACAAAAGAAATAACAGCCGAAGGGATTATTTCACCAAGGAAATAATAGCCCTAAGTAATCGAAATCGACCAAACGAAATCAATACTCTTCTCGGGATCGAAAACTAAGTTTTGATCTGGAGGATGACCGTGTAGATCTCAGATCTGATCTCTCTCGAACTCCTGTCTTATTTGGCGTGAATGATCGCCAAGAACCAGATCTGAAAAGTCCGAGTCTTCAAAGCTCCAAAGCTCCAACCTTTTTTTTTAGTCTTGAGCCTTTAATCCAGCAGAGTTTCCCCTCAAAAGTCCCAACCTCCCAAAACAATGAGCCACCAAGCCTATTTATAGGCATTTAGAACTAGATCTGGGCTCAGATCTGGGCCCAGATCTGGGCTTGGGCCAGGTGGCTCGGCCATGGCCGAGCCACCCCTAGGTGGCTCGACTTTGGCCGAGCCCCCTAGGGGGCTCGGCTTTGGCCAAGCCACCCGAGTGGCTCGGTTTTGACCGAGTCCTCCAGGTGTTTGTCATTTTGTCATTTTCCGGTTTCGCGGTTTATCCGAACTCTGATTTGTTGATCTGGACTCTGATTTGGCAGTCCGGATCCTGATTTGACAGTAAATCCGCTTCGGTGTTTAACCTCGTCGCCTCGTTAATCTGCTTCGTCGCATCTTACTTAGCTTCGATGTTGTGGTTTAACGATCACGCTTGGATACATCACCCGATGGTTCGTTGGTTTGTCGAATCACCGTGCCGATCTGTGTTAATGGACCTATATACGCCTACAGATACCCCCCTCCAAAGTATTTTAGTCTCGTTTTTTTATAGAATAGTCTGGAATACTTTAGATATGATTGTCCCAACCTTCAATCGGTATGACGGGACTTTGGAGTGACTTCTATTCTTGATTCCTTCAATCCTTCAGGCTATTCGGTGCTTTGTCGAATGTCTGCAAAGGTTCCAGTGTTGCATTTATTGTCTGACCGTTGTCAGAATTTTGAACTTGAAGTCAATTCCTGATTTTCTGATTTTTAGCTCGTGTTTGTTGTTTCAACATAGAAACGATCATTGATTGCTGGCGTTGAGTCTTCATTTGTAACGCGTTGTCTGGCGTTTGGCATAGTTTATACTCATACGTCTGTCGAAGTGTTGTTGAGTTATCCTTAAGAATATTTTTAGAAAAATACTCTCCAGAAACTTCTCAACAAAAATAGGGAATAGTTTATACTCGTATACCTTATTGGAGTATTAAAAATTAGTTGAACCGGCCCGATAATGACCCAAAAAAGGCAGTAATTAGGCTAAAAAAAAATCCTCCGACCCTTCCGAATATATGGGAGAGGAATGAATAAATAAGAGACTGAGTTGTTGATTGATTTGAAGTCGTTTCGACACTCGGTTCAGCTCCAATTTGAATTTTGGTTCAAATCTGGTTCAAACTGGTTCAGAACTGGTTCAACCTGGTTCAAGACTGGTTTAGGACTGGTTCAGGACTGGTTTAGCCTGGTCAGTGTAAAGGACCTGCAGTTAGCTTTAATTCTTGACTCCTTCAATGCTTTGACGAATAGCTGAAATCCTTCCGGCGTCGCATTTATCGTCTGTCCGTCGTCGAAGTCTCAAATCTAAAACTGATGAGTTGAGTTTGGCTTGTGTCATCGAGTTGACTTTGAACTGATTATCTCCGTCATGATATATTGACTCGTGTTGACTTTTTGCTCGCAACGCGTTGACTGGCGTTAACCTAGGGTTACGCGTTGATAGGCGTTGACCTTAGGGTTTTGAACGTCGTACGTTGACTTTTTGATCATAACGCGTTGACTGGTGTTGACCTAGGGTTACGCGTTGACCGACGTTGATTTTAGGGTTTTAAACGTCGTGCGTTGACTTTTTGATCGCAACGCGTTGACTGGCGTTGACCTAGGGTTACGCGTTGACCGGCGTTGACCCTAGGGTTTCGAACGTCGTACGTTGACTTTTTGATCGCAACGCGTTGACTGACGTTGACCTAGGGTTACGCGTTAACCGGCGTTGACCTAGGGTTTCGGATCGCTTGACATTTATTGGAGTATACACAGTTTAAGCTCTTAAGGTATTGGAGCATGGCGGTCCTAAATGTCGGGGTTGCAGGACCAACTATGAAAGTTGATTCATCTGCATGTATGAATCTTATCCTGAAATTGTTGGATGCTCAAATCACGAGACCAACTAATGAAAATGATGCGTCAATGACTTGCATTTATAGAATTTTTGGCAAATCCTCAGCCATCAACGGGTTTGATATGCCTTTACCGACTACCATTTGAGTCGGGCTAGCATGCGGATTGTCTAAATCCGTTCCGCATGTAACGTTGTGCTAAGAGAGTGAATTCTCTGAGACTTTGTGCTATGATGTCGAATACATAGACTTTACCATTTGTTACGGGAATAGGCTACCCGACAACACGTGTTAGGTGTTGACTTTAGGATTTTTGGCTAACCCCCAACCTTCAACGGGTTTGATAAGCTTTTACCGACTACCGTTTGAGTCGGGCTAACATGCGGATTGTCTAAATCTGTTCCGCATGTAACGTTGTGCTAAGAGAGTGAATTCTCCGAGACTCGCTGCTACGACTTCGAATACGTAGACTTCGTCATTGTTACGGGAATAGGCTACCCAACAACGTGTATTAGACGCTGACTTATCCCTACTTAGGCTTCAGGATAGAATACCCCAGAATCGAACTCTGGTGTCTTTTTCTACGGAGAAAGACTAAACCGACGACGCGTGTTAGGCGTCGGCATATCCTTTCTTAGGATTCAGGATGAAATTTCCCATGCGTGTAAGGCATGGATTTTGATGTTATTAATAACAACCTGCCACAATGTTGAATATGCGGACGAGTGTTCTTTTTAACGATTAAGAACTAACCGGCAGCGTGGGTTAAGCACAGACTTATCCCTGCTTAGGTTTCAGGATAGAATACCCCAGAATCGAACTCTGGTGTCTTCTTCTTCGGAGAAAGACTAAACCGGCAGCGCATGTTAGGCGCAGACTTATCCCTGCTTAAGATTCGGGATAAACTTCCTAGGATGAATCCTA